ATATCTAACGTTAATAATTTTGGGTGATTTTTAAATTTAAATGACAAAAAAAATAATTTACAAAATACTTTAATTTTAGACTGTAAATTAGTAATTAGAATTTAACCAGCTGTAATTTATTATAGACTGAATAAGTTTTTGACAATTTCTAATAGGACTTTTACATTCAGTTAAAAATAAATACTAATAGCAACAATCATAGACTCTCTCCAATACTTTATTCTAAGTTTATTATATTTTTAAGTTGACTTTGAAACCCCAATAGTGACAATTCGTTATTACTAATGTCAATAGTGTTGCGATATTTGTTTATAAAAAAGACTAACCAGTTTTTTAATATGACCTTTAAGTAGTGAATAAGAGAAGTATTTCGAATGTTACTCAGGAAATACTTAGAAATATGAGTAGGACCTTTGAGAACCACCTTTAGACCTCCATAACTATTATTGGAGTCTACTTAGAGAAAAACTTTTAATTAAATAAAATCTTTTAAAATAACCCTTAATAAACTAAGTATAAAGTAGGTATTATGTGAAGTTGTCGGTTGCTATTTTTATTTATTTTTTAGTCGATAATAAATTATAGAATTGCAATTATCAATTAACAAACAATTTATTTCCCAGTAACCAGAGACTAATTAAAATTAAAGTTTTTGTGAATTAAGTATATTCTTTTTTTTTTATTAAATTTAAAAATCTCCCAAAATTATTAACTTTAGGTATATGGAATGCTTGACTCAAATGAAATTTTAATTAAGGAGTTTTGACTCTGTACAGATTTGTTTCGAATTGAAAAAGTAGTGCTTGGGCATAAGATGTTAACTATTATCTAAAACCTTTTACGGCAAAAAAATTGATTTTCAATGGTTTCTTTTGCAGTATACAGGTCAATGAAATCAATTCGATTTTTATATAAAACTGGTTACAGCGTGTGAAATACCCTGTATAATCTGATTATATTTGGTATTATTATAATAGGAAACGCGAGGGCAATTCAAATATAAAATAAAATGCAGGATCCTCCATTTTCTTGTGAAGAAATTCATAAATTTATTCGTTAATTTCTTCATAATGAATAAATTTAAGGGTAATTAAAATAACATCAAAAGCAACCACAAATTTGTTCAAATCATAATCCAGTGGAGTAGAGCCATTTTTTTGTCTCAGTATTTTGTAATTATTTTTGATTCCCCCTGTAGGTTATGACTTTCGTTAGTCAGTAAATATTTTAACCACCTTAATTACCTCTTTTTTGTATACGGTTTATTGAATTTATAATAGATTTGAAAAACTTCCCGTATGTATTTCTAACTTTATATTGTTTGGTCATTATGTAAAATTTTTCGTGTATACCATATACCATTCCTAAAAAACTGTATCACTAAGCGTATATACATAGTTGTCCCATGGCGTTACTTAAGCATTATTTACTTTTATTATGAATCCATCGCACTTTCCACTAAAATACAGGGTACAAATATTTAACCTTTGTTAACACTTTGTCTTCGTATTTCCTGTGACCCGTAGCAACGGTTCTTACAGGGTCTTCCAACCAAGCTATATACTTAACGGATGAAGCATTTTTTAAGAAATATATTTGCAATTACATTTATTTAAAATAATATTAATTTTAGCTTTGCAATTAAGAAAGGCATTTAAAAGAAAAATGCAAATCATGTAATAAAAAAAGGATAAAGACTGACATCAGAATGTAAGAGCGCTCAAAAATTAAGAATCAAAGCCACAGTTTAATACTTTAGATACTTATAAAAAATAGTCTTCTGGTATAAAAATAAACAATTCTTGATATTTTTTGGAATGGCTTATTCATGGTCAGAATGAAGATCAATTATCTAAATAAAAAACCTTCCAGAATTTTGTGTTCTATATTACAAAAATTATTTGTGTTAATATAAATTTAAAAAAAAATCTATAATATTAGTAAATATTTAAAATGCGGGCCACATTCAATGAGACTGGCTCATACTTTTAAATAATAATTCAGTATGAAAATGTGACCCATACATTTTAAACTCGGTTTACTTTTAAGTGATTTTCCACCGGCTTCATATAAAGGTTTAACTAGAACTTAAGTAGATAATTCTAGGGTTTTTTTTGTTAAATGCTGTCAGAATCAAAAGTAAACCCCCCTCGGTAAACCCTATTCTTTTAAACTCACTTTCCACTTTTTTATAATTTTTAGTTTTGATTTCTTTTAGTAGTAATTAAATATTTTTCATTGTTGTTTTCCATAGATAAATAAATATTTTTAGAAATTTCAAAATAAACCGAAAAATTCTATATCGGAAATTTTTTAAGTAAACAAAAAATCGATACCTTTAGCTACAAAATATTCTAATATTTTGAAGAATAAAAAAACTGATCTAATAGGTAGGTAGTAACTTAAAAAAAAACTTTGAACACAATAACAGCAGAATTTAATGCTTCACTAGAAAACAATAACACAAAAAAAACACCAAATCAACTTCTATCAGTTATGTTAGATCATCCAATGGGCCCGTTCACTTTCATTTTTGAATGTGAAATATTTATATATTTATAAAGATATTAAACTCTTTTGTCTGGTGTAAGTTTTCCCGTTAAGATATTTTTGCTAGAAGTAAGGGAATTCCCATAAAATTCTTTCAGTGACTCATTGCGTCAGAAAACCCCTAATTCCCTTCAGGTCTTGTATCCGTTAATAGTTAAAAGGGCGCGGTTGTCGGATGTATTATTGCACCAGCATTCCTCTTCTGCATTTATTAAAGAAATTTACATGATAAAAATATATTATTTTTTAAAAATAATGTGTTTATATTTTCAGATAAAGCTGGAAGCCTTACCTTTTTTAAATTTTAATAAAAACAATTAGTATTACTCAAGCTGAATATTACCAGATCGAAATTTTATTTGAGAAAATGTATCTGGTAAACGTGACAACGTTGTAAGTACTTCTAAATAGTGTTGTCTACACACACGTTTACCAGATAAATATTGCAAATCCAATTTCTACTCTTTGATTATGGTCTGGTTAATTTTCAGCCTGAGTAATAATAATTGTTTTTATTAAAAAGTAAAAAATAGGCTCCCAGCTTTAATCTGAAAATATAAGTTCATGATTTTTAGAAAAATAATGGAATTTTACTATTTAAATTACATATATAAATGCAGAAATGCTATATTAGGGATACTTCCGACAACCTCGCCGTCTTTAAGCATAACCGATACGAGACGTGAACGGAATTAGGGATTTTCTGACGCAATGAGTCACTGAAAGAATTTTATGGGAATTCCCTTACTTCTAGCAAACATATCTTAACGGGAAAAGCACCACCAGACAAAAGAGTTTAATATCTTTATAAATATATAATTAATTCACATTCAAAAATGAAAGTGAACGGGCCCATTCAAGAAAATAATCCTGTCTTATTAAAATTCTTCTTGAAAAACTCAAACTCAATTATATCAATAGGTGTCTTTATAATTTTCTAAAATTTTTGAAAATGCCATTAATATACTGGCAAAATAGGTTACCTATGTTAATCGAGTTAAATTTTTAAGAGCTGATTCTTGAGGGATTAATTTAAACTGTAGTTTAGATCAACTAAATATAGGTTACATGTAGCTGGAAACATTTTATTTAAATCTGAGATTAATAATTTAAACTTCGTTTAAGAGAAAACCGGACTTTTATCTAATATAAAATTGTATTTATAGGCGCGCCACTGGGTATATTTCGCGATGTTATGTGTCTCGAGAATATTGAGAGCCCGCCACTGGGAATACTTCTGCTTTAAATTTGTGCAACGATAAGGCAGCACTCTAGAGAGACATTTAAGAAAAAAGGTGGGAAACCCTACCATTTAAAAACTACTAAATATTTATTAAAACAAAAAGCAGCAAATTGTCATACATTTAATACAGAAAAGGGCGTAATTTTTTTTTGAAATGTATTTTAAGAATTATTAAAATAAATACTTTTTGAAGGTTTGCAAAAAAAATCAAGGTTTGTTTTTGTTATTATTGTTATTTTCTGAAAGTTTCACAAAAAACGGTCTAAAAGTAAACGCTCCGAAGGAATTAGACATTTTTAAGGTGTTTGGTTTGATCTTAACGGTGAAATCGGCCCTAAATGACGTAGATAATCTAGAGATTATCTGTTTTAACAATATGTCACGATTTTCTGAATCTGTAAATAAGGGACTTATTTCTGAGTGATTTTATAAAAGTTTAGCATACTATCGATAATCGCGTTCCAGAAAAACCCCCGTCAAAAATGCTTTCATATGGAATTCTTTATTTCATTTTTACTGTCTCTTGATCAATTAAAAGTGCATTTTTTTTTAAATCACATACCACAGGAATCATGTAAAAAATTAACCTTTTATGCAATTTAAACTGTATGCGCAATCATATCTGGATGCAATAGGATACACAATATGTGTTACTTGACGTGCCTCGGCCAGAAATATTGCTGATTATTATGTAAATAAAACTGTTTGATAATAACCTCTTATCATATGCATGAGACTATACGATACAACTTTGTGGTAAATATCTAGGAAAAAATATAAATTTATGTACAGGAAACCGTTAAAAGGCAAACACATAGGCAATAATGACACATTTCCTTCCATTACTTGTCTATTATTTCTTGGCATTGACTGAAATATTAATTAGTTTAATTAAAATACACTTTCACAGTTTGTGTAAGTTATCAAATAACATATTTTAAAACTAAATAAAATGTTTTATTTTTTGAAAGAACACGCAACTATTTTTGAAATTTTTAAATAATCATTTTCTTTATTCGAAGTCGGCCATGTGTATCCTACTATATTTCTCTTGGTTTGCCTCTCTTATTCTCTCAGCATACAATCCTCATCTTAGCAACGTGTATTTTCTGCACGTACCTATATTTTCTTCACTATCATCCATCCAGTCCTACTATTTTTATTTATTAAAAAAAATCATTAATAATTTATTCTATTTTTTTTATAGATAAAACCACAAGATGATTCGAATGGATCTTGGAACTGGGATGATAATGAAGAAAGCGATTCAAAAGTACCAATTGAAACAATTTCCACCCTAAAGAAAAACATTGCTACATTGGAAACTGAAAAAGCAGAACTTCAAGTGCAGTTAGAACAACTTGATGCTGATAACCAAGAAAATCTGCAAAATATCATGAGAATAAAAGACAAATTACATGTCGAGTTGAACGAACTTAACGAAAACTATGTAAAAGTAAAGGAAGAAAACGCAATTTTGATTAAAGAAGTACAATCACTAAAGCAGCTACAAGAAGGAGATGGAATCAAAAATAAGTCTAAAGATGCAGAAATTTTCGACAACCTGTCAGATACTAACAAAAAATTGAACAATGAACTTGAAAAATTAAAAAAGGAATTGCACGTTATTAAAAGTTCAAATGAGACCTTCCAAAAAATTATAGAAAACAGTAAAAGAACCGATGCAAATGATTTTGAAGGAAAAATTAAAATACTAGAAGAAGAAAAGAAATTACTTTACTCAGAATTAAAGAAAGCTAACGAACAGATATTATTTTTCGAAAAAAAGAGTATAGAAGATGAAGATAACTGTCAAAAACTAGCTGTTATTTTGGAATCATACGAAACGCAAGTAAGTTCTTTGAAAAAAGAAGTAGACGATTACACTAGTAAATATGAAGAATCTCAAAAACATCAAAAAGAATTGGAAAAACTTTACAACAACTTGAAATTTGAATATGAAAGTTTAGAAAAGAAACACCAAAATGACGTAAAGTCAATGCAAGACGAAATAATAAACTTAAAATCTCTGTTAGACCAAAAGAACCAAAACGATCAAGAAGAAGAAATAGCGCGTTGGAAAAAAGAAATTGATGATTTGAAAAAATTGAATGAAGATTTACAAGTGAAAGCTAGTGGAAGAATGGACATATATTTAGAAGAAGAATTAAATGATATTCGAGAAGAACATGAAACTCAGCTAAACGTTTTAAGAGAAGAATTGGAGCAGTTAAAAAATCAAGACGACTGTAATAATAAATACGAAGATATCAACAAACAATATAAGGAAATTGAAAACCTCTACAATGAGTTGAAAAATGAACATGAGAGTTTACAGAAACAATACCAAATCCAATTAGAGGATGAAAAGAAAGATCAAACTGCAGAAATAGAACGCTGGAAAAAGGAAATTATCGATTTAAAAACATTAAACGAAGAATTACTAGTAAAAGCTAGTGGAAGAATGGATTTGGATTTAGAGGATGAATTAGAAACCATTCAACAAGAACATGAGGTTCAATTGAATGTATTAAGAGAAGAACTAGAGCAGCTAAAATGTCAAGAGAACAAAAATATGACTGATAATGATAAATTTGAAGAACTAGAGGAAAAGAAGTTAGACGTAACTAGAGAACTTAATGATTTACAACAACAATATGCATTTTTACAAGAAAATCATAAAGTTAGTTTATATGAACTACACAATAAATATATAAATATTATTACAGACAATATTAAAAAGTTCCAAGAATGCGAAAAACCATCGGATTTCGAACACTGCGTCCATGAAGATGATCCTCAAGCAGCAGAATTATGCAAACATATAGAAAATATAATAAAAATACTTTTGGAACTAAAATGCAAGTCAGCAGATCTAGAACAGCGAATTCTAGAAATCACAGAGGAAAAAAATGCAATTCTTGTTGACAAAAACCACGAAATTGAAAAATTAATACAAAATTCTGACTTGCTAACTCAAGAAATTGTAGCCAAGAATCAAACCATTAAAGAATATCAAACCGAATGTAATGAAATTGCTCAAAATAATGACCTGCTTATAAACGAACTTGAAACTTGTAAAAGCAATCCCGGTTTGCAAACAATCTCAGAGTCGAACGAAGACAGCATGATCCTTCTTGAATTACAATTAGAAAATGCCAATAAAAGAATCGAAGATCTGGAAAAAATAATTAATTATTTGGAAAAGCAGAAACCTCATGTAGATACATTGGATGGTGAAAATTTAGAAAACGCTGTTATAGAAAATGCTGCACAAAAACTTAATAGAACAAAAACGAAAATGAAAGCTACGCAGAAAGACGAAGAAAGTTTTGATCAATTTGACGATTTGGAAAACCAACAAGTAGATACAATGGACGGTGAACATTTAGAAAAATCAGATTTAGAAAATGCTATAGCAAAACTTATTGAAACCAAAACGGAAATTAAACACAAGAACAAAGATTACGATACGTTGTTGAACAGTTTCGATCAACTACAAATTCACTGCGATTCTTTGAAAAAAGAACTTTACGAGACCGCGGAAAATTTATCATTCTCGAATGAAAAGAATTTGAATCTAAAAACCACTCTAGAAAAACTGAAAAGTGAATATGAAATGTTCGAATATCAAATAAGTGAACTGAACATGAATTCTGAAAGTTTGAAAGAAGAAGTGGAAGAATTTAAAGCAAAATTCAACGCACTTCTGTCCGAAAACTCCAAACTAAAACTCCAAAACGAAGAATTCATGAAAAGTTCTACAAATCACATATACCAAATAGACATGCTAAAACAACATTTAACTATAGGAGAAGACAACAAGAAAGCATTAGAATCGCAGATAGAAACCCTCACAGAAAAACTAAAAACCTGTAAAATGGCGGAAACAACTCTAAAACTACAGTACGAACAAAAAAGTAAAGAACTTGCAATCCAATCAGAAGCTAGGTACAACTTGGAAGTGACGTTGAATAAGATGAACACAGATCTTGCTGAATTCCAGAATAATTTCGTGGAACTGCAAGCTCAAAACGATCAGTTACAAATTCAGCAAGAGAAATTACAACAAGCGTTAATTGAAAAAGATAAAATGGTGAAAGAGCTCGAAAATACGAAACAGATTCAAGAGAAATTAGATAATACAGAACTAATAGATCGTTCCACTACTACCGAGAATAAAGAAAATAATGAAAAAGTTGTAAACGAAGATTACAACAACCTCAAGCAGATTTTAGATGAAACAGTGCTAGAAAAAGCCAATTTACACGCACAATTAAGTAAACTACCCGAAATACAATCGCAATTAAAAGAAGCCACAGAAAGATGTTCTACATTACATCAACAACTCCAAGAGGTTACAAATTCTCGTAACGAATTAATCAACATGGTGACAATGAAGCACCAGGAAAACGTAACATATCACAATGAAATTCAAAGATTGAACCAAGTGTTAACTAGTGAAGTCGATAAATATAGAAACCTAGAAAAGCAGTTTAACGAAATCAAATCCAAAGCTTCCGCTGAGGATATACAGGAAAAAAATAAAGAATTGGACAAACTTACGGATCAGAATAATTTTCTGAGAGAAAAATGCGAAGTCATAGCTAAAAATCTTCTAGAAGAACAGTCCAAAGTACAGCAGTTGCTAGCTGAACGATCCGTGCCATCCGAAAACGAAAAAAATCTTCAAAAGAAACTCGACAGACTGCAAGCTCACCTCATAGAATCAGAGGAACACTACACGGAAGAGCTATACCAAGCTGAGCAGAAGAACCAAGCTTTAAAAACGAAATTATTGGAGTTGGAAAAGAAAGAAAAAAGTTCTAGTACCATGTACACTTCCGTTAGTATAAGAGCGAATCAACAAGTAGAATCGTTGCAAAGCCAACTTCAAAGTGTGATCCAAGAGAGGGATTCATTAAGGAAGCAGATTTCTGATGCTGAGGATGAAAATACGAAGCAAGCTGCCGCTTTGGCTAATTTGCAGTTTGTATTGGAGCAATTCAGAAAAGGTATTTACCTATTTTTAATGTAGCTACTTTATTTTATCAAAAACATCCTTGACATTGTTAACATTAACTATTGAAATTTTTTTTTATTGTTTTAATCTCATTTAAATATTTGCTTTCTATTAGTAAGCAGATTTGGTTTTATTAACAGATAAACTATTCTTTGTAGGTTTAATAATAATAGTAAATTTTCTTAGATAAGGAGAGGAAATTCTGATGCACTATTTTTGAGATATTAAATAGAACAGGATGAAACACCTTAAAATCCGCAAAAATGTAGAGAATTGTTTTAGAGAATTTAATGCTTATTCGAATCTGATATGTTTTCAAAATTATTAAAAGCTATGTAGATTTGAAGTTAATTAAAAAAAATGCCGTTTGTGTTTAATAATATAACGAAACGTCTTTATTGCATTTAAAGGGCAAACATGATTTTTTAGAATTACTAATTATTATTATTGCGATATTTTGTATTATAAAATGTATTAACAAAAAAACAAATAGGAATAATGAAAATCGTATTAAGACACATAATATTCTAAATCGATGACACCAAATTAAAAAAAAATAATAATAAATAGGATTTATAACATTAAAAAAATACGGACAAAAACAGTGTCACTTTCGTAAATAAAAATACATGTATACTAAATACTGTTACGCAGGTTTTTGGTATCGCAATTTATTTGAACTCAACTTTTACAACTATTCAACTGATTAACGTAACGGCTATCATAAAACTGCCAACTGACGTCAGGTCGTCGACTTATATAGCTTGCCTCCACCTTCTAGAACCTTCTCGAACAATCCGGATTTTTCTTTGACAAGGAATGACATTTCGAAACATTTCTGGAATATTCCATCTTCTTCATTTACTCGTACCTTTATGACAACCGCAGCACGCTGCAGGGTGCTGCGTAACAATACTCTAGTTATACTTTATAATAGTAAATGCTTTTCCAAAATAATTCTACTCTTTATGGTTTTAAATGTGTCTATTGCAGATTGCAAATCAATATTAGACGCATAGTCCTTTTCAATATTCAGTAATGCTATGTTTGTCAATCTGTCCTTAGACATGATCGACCTATTATACGTTTTAATATTTCTTAGTATATTAAAATATATTTCTCCTCTTGCAGTAGCAGTTGTTAAAAAAATCGGTATATTTTCCTTAAATTAGGAAAAATTAATTCCCATTTTCGTTGGAAATTAAAAAAGGGTAGGTATATAATTTTATCTTCAATTTTTAACTTATATTCCTCATTTATTTCATTTAATAGACTACAAAACGATTATTAATATTCATCAACTATTTCCGGTTGGATAGAAGATTTGTAAAAAATACTTAAATAATTTTATATACTTAATCTTCATCCCTTCACTCTCTACGCTATCTCTGCGCTGAGATAAATATTTTTTTAATACTGATAATTAGATTGGTTTAGATAGTTTAATTAAAATTTACGATTTATTTGTAAATAGAGAAGAAATTCTTGAAGAATGCTTTTATTTATCGATTCTTCATTCATTTTTAATATTTAATCATGAATATCAAAAAAATATAGTGACAATTAATTTGGCAATATTATAGTACTGGATACGAAGTAAGGTCAACCTTCGCCCATCTGCTTACCGGATGAAAGTTATTTTTTAAATATGTTAATATGTTAATAAATATACGGCAAATGGATTGTCTAAAAAAATACTGGTTAAAGTTGCTTGTGATGTCATTCTCTATAATTCTTCTCCTATGCATGATTTGCCTAAAATTAACCGTATTCTAGATATTTGAGGGAAAGTGCAAATTTCGAAGATAACTTAAAAACGGATAAATACATCAAATTTTAAACTTAGGCTTTAATCCATCCTGCGGTGAGCTGATTAATTTTTGGGGATAGTCGAGCATCTGGGGAATACTTAATAGGGTGTCGTTTTTTTTTTACTTTGAGAAAATAAATAGTCTTGACATTATTTTATTAGGTAGCCCATTTGCGGTATATTTTTAAACATATTTAATAAAAAAATCACTTTCATTTGGTAAGCAGAAGGGCGAAGGTCGCTTCGTATCTTAGACTATTATCACTTATTTTAAAATTTAAAAAATAATAGTAGTCCGGGCCACCAAATATGAAGCGTGATTGGTGGATTTCATATTTACTAGAATGGATATGAAATTGTATCCGTTCAGTAAAATGCAATGGCCTACTTTTTCGTTGTGTGGTCTGTGTGTAGAATAGGTAATATCCATCCAAAAATCTTCTCGTTTTGTATTGCATTTTTTTCTAGTTGGTAGATAGACAATAACAGTTGTTCATACTTTGACATAATTTGTTAATTGTATTTGTCAGAATGTCATCTTTCAAATTTAACAACCTCGTGAATTGCTGCTTTAAAAATTGTTATAAATAAATGATTATGATAGTTTAATATCATTTGCTTATTTACATTTATTGAAAATGAATGGTTTAGTTCTGTAACATTTACTTCTTTTATTCCTAATACAATAATAAAACATGTAAATAAATTAGAACAACTGTGTTTGTAGCAACCAACTCCACAGTATAATACACAAATAATAAACAAGTGGAATATAAAAATAATTAGCATTTTCGAATCATCTTTTGTCTGGAAACTATTCTTTTAACGAAAATTTTGAAATTCTACTTATTGAAAATAAGGGTTTAAACTTAATAGATTTAAGACTAGATAATCTGCTAATTATCAACCAACAATGAATCATTCATCTCTACTGATTCCTAGTAATCTGTAATAATCCTGTAAGTGTTAAAAACCTTATTATTGGTTCAATTAAAATACATTGTTTATTAATTACCTTAATTAATTAACTTATCTATAAACATTGTAATGTAAATATGTTACATCTAATGAAGAAGTTGTTCTTCGAAACACGTCATATAATTTATTAATGAAACAATTTTGTAAAAATCTACTATAGTTTGTTTTTTGCTTTGATCCCTTGTATTTTTAATTTATATTAATAATATATTCATTTCGTAGACAATATTAATAATATATTCATTTCGTAGACAAAGAAAAAGACGTAATGAAAGAAACCGAAAGAATACGTCGTCATATCAACACGGAAAAGCAGATACAAGAGGAATTAAGAGCTGAAATGTCTAACCTCAAATCGCAACTAGAAGAACGCAATCAAGGTTTACTGGCAGCTGCCAGGCTATCGGATCAACTTGAATCATCTAAAAAAATCGTATCTGGATTAAAAGAAGAAGGTACCTATCTGTATACGTTGTATTTTGTAGCATGAACAATTATGTTTTATTGGTTATTGATTTTTTTTAGAATAAACTCAGATGCTTACATAAAAATAATCCGATTTGTACAATCATTTTTAATTTCATATATTTTACTACTTTTTTCCAAAATACAGTTTTAAGTTCATGATGGTGAAGGTGACTTATTATTTCGATGATCTGTAAACCCTTCATCTTTATTTGTTTGTGGATAATCTAAATACCAGTTTTCATATCTGTAATATTTTCTCTTTAACTTGAAAATAGTTCTTTTCTTTAACACTTTCTATATACATATTAAAGGAAATTCGCCTATAAAAAAAATAAAAGCAAAAATATCCGAGTTTATCCTAAACGAATTATCAACAATTCGAAGAATGTCACAAGTTTTCAGCATCTAACAAACCGTTTATCAGTCTTTTCAGTTTCATGCCCGATGGTTGTCCGTGAAATATCAGCTGGTAATTCTGGGTGGTTGTGATCCCAGAATATCAGCGGATATTCTCATGAACTACTGTTTCTGCCACGCAATAACTACATTGTCACATTATTTTGCATTTTGGGTATACGGTAATAACTGATATAGTTTTTCTTAATTTATATTATCATTGGTTGCAGCTTGTTGTTATCAGAATTGAATATATTAAAATATTCCTACATTTTTACAAATAATATTAAGGATAGTGCAACATGGGAAGATATCTGATCACTTTTTAAACTCAAAGAAAAGTTATCAAAAGTATTTTTTCTACGATCACTATCCAAAAAAGGCTTTTGCGCTTCGAAATTCGACCGCAAAGTTAACATTTTCTGCGAACACACATTTAATGAGAGCTTTGTTGCTCGCCTAATTAAAATTATCTATAATACAATATTTCTTTTTAATAAATTATTTTCAAGTTATTTGTACGTAGTTACATGTTTTTTTGTTATATTATCCAAGTTAACATGGATTTTAAATATCAACTTTTCATGATAAATGTAGGTATAGGCAACACATTATACACTACTTACGACAAATTTTCATACATTTTAATAAACAAATTGGTATGTTGGTTCAATTGCTTGTCTTGCATTTCTTTTAGAGGTTTTCTGAGAAAAAATGGGTACACTATGCAAACTGCTAGTCTGAAATGAAAATTACTTGTCCAGTCTTCATCTAGAGGATATTTGGGTCAAAAAAAACGAGAAAGTACTACCCTAGTATTTATAGTTTACCCTCTAGACTTAATTGGCAAACTATCGACTCGAACAAGAAAGTATTTTAAAGTGTATATATTTCAATTTTAAGTAGTCAAAACATGTAGACGTTGCTTTCAACGACAAGACATGCCTGTCTCTCTTCAAGACGCTCTCTAGAGGTTTAACTATAAATACTGGTAGTACTCTCACCTGATTTTTTTGTTACAAATATCTTCTAGATGAAGAATGGACAAGAATTTTTCATTTCAGACTAGCAGTTTGTGCAGCCTTCTAAAAAAAATCGATTTTTTCCAAAAACACCCCTAAAAAATGCAAGTCAGATAACCTGGAAGCAAGTGAAAGAGGACCATTAGGACATCGAATTGGACTAACATACCAATTTGTAGCTATATTCACAGGCAACCCTTGTCCTGAACTCTTCATCGCTTGGGCTACATGTAAAACGACAGATAAAAATAATAATTAGATTTTTATCTTTATAATAATTATTCTGTAATTTTTTTGAAAATTTAGAAGCGATACAATTAAATAATTTTTTATTCAGTTCTGATCAATACAGTTTGAAATAAAAATATTTATCATGTTCTTTGTAAATATTTTTATTTCAAACTATTCATTATTGTCCAGATTCTTATGCCATTTGGCCTGATTCTTTTTTATTTGTTTGATGCATCTTGAATTTCATAATTTTTGTCTAGAGGTTCTCTTACACTTATTTATTTTTGCACATCTATATTTCCAGCATGTTTACTAGTATAACAGTTGGGCGTGATCCACTAACATGCATGAGTAATATTTTAAATATTGGTGAAAATGAGGTTCATATCGACGAATTAACCAACACATTCTTAATAAAATAATCTTTGTTTTCTTATTTTTTTAATATCTTGTAAGTTTGAAAATTAGGTATTTTTATTGATTTAATAACTGAATAGAATGGTTATACTTAACAGTGTAAGTATAAATATTTTATATACTAACATTTTAATGTGGTTTATTTTCCTGGGCTCGTCTGACCTAATAGCTTATTTTAGTAATTATTAATTATACACTAATTATTACTGTATCTAACAAATTTATTAACGAGTGCATTTCTGTTTTTATCTATTAAAAAGTGTAACTTTAAATTTAATTAAAAATATATTTTTTATAAAGATTCTAAAATCAGGCTGAAGGGTACTTTAAATCTATGGATAATATCTATGTAATTTTCTTAACATTATGTTTTTTTTATGTCATTTTATACTTTAGACAAGATGCTTTACGAATCTATTTTTCTCTAGCCAAAAATAGATTTTTTTTCAACACAAATGTATAGTGTACAAAAAACATCACAACATAAAATATAACATGGACTTCACTTGTCTATAGTAAACACAGGTACTATTCACATTTAGTTACATTAATTCACAAGTAAATAATTATTTTAATACTGCAACCCTTTTATAATGATTAATCATAAAACCATAAAATCATTTATAGTATAATGAAGAAAGAATATTTAGATTATATCAATCTAAATTCGTAAATAAATGTGTAATGTCAAAATTGACAAGATATTCCTTAATGATATGCGAATATTTAAGGATGTGAAAAAATAATTATAGTTTTCTATATAAACTATGGTCCATAAATGTTCCGTTACGAAAATATCGGGTGCTAAAGTTGAGATATTCCAGTAATATTTAGTACAAAATGTCAGTTAATGAAAATACATATTTTTGAGGATCATCAATAAGGGGAAAGGCCTATTAAACACATTATGGCCTTCACTTAATATGCATATGTATTTTAGATCATATCTTATATAAAGCAAACTATCATTAATTATTGTTCAGGTAGATTCGCACCCTCAAATATTCGCACCCTGTATATTAATCTTCAAATTATAGACAGTAATGACAAAGTTGCCATATCCAATTTATTTAGACATTCTAATGTTGTACCTAGTTTGGGCTAAAAGTGAATAGTGTTTTTTATAATAAGGGTTTTTTTCAGCACACTTTACCACAACCAGCACTTTTTTATTTAATTTGGCACTGTTGCACGCTTTACCTACGTTTTTTTAATCTCATTTGGTAACTGTGAGGTAATTTGATTCCCCAGGTACTGAATGGGATATACAAAATGTAGTGTTTGAGTCACCATTTTTTTTCTGTCTGCACTTTTTATTTTTGTTTTTTTTTTTTTTTTAATTTACTGTGGGCTTTGGTGTTGTTTTTATAATTGGTACATTTTTAGTTGTTTGAATTGTTTTAAAACCTTCTATATTTTAACATAATAAAATTTATTCAAATATTTTTAAATAATTTTAAATTTCTATATTGTAACTTAGTTTTTGCTGTATACCATCAACATTAAAATGGGATATTAAAAATGTTTACCATTCACATGCATTTTTAAAATTATTTCACAAGCATTCTTGAACTTAACATAATTTATAGTTTCCATACATAAATATAGATGGTTTTACATTGTTTATTCCTTTTTTTTTGTTAAATTTTAATTTGAATAGTATTTTTTCCAGTTTTAGTATACGATTGTCTGTCCGGCATGCAGAGCATGATTTTTCTGGCAAAAAGTGTAGAGAATGAGTATTACATCAGGTACTGGTAGAGTTATGAAACTACCAGTCCCTGGGTAACACTTGATTTCTGCCTTTTGAAGGCATCAAGAAAATTGTATGTTTTTATTTTATTACTTTAGTTTATTGAATAGTTTTAAGAATATTTTTATTCCAAATATCTTCAACGCATGTTTAAATTATTCTATCATAGATACTTCATACTCAATTTAATATTTTTTGATATTATTTAATAATCTTCCAATAAAAATTTGAATGATTAAAATCAACTGATATGTTCACATGTTTTAGTTTAGAGGGTAATCTACGTTAAAATTAGTGATTATTGTGTAAAATAAAAATTTAATCCATGTAGTGGTGTCTAAAATTTTAAAAAACGTAGGTATAATGCCCGTAAACGATATTAGATCAAGCTGTAGAGGAGCAAGGCAAAAATAAAATAGTCCGGGTACATAAGAATTATTGATTTATCTTTAGTACCACATTAAGTTATCTAGATAAGTAATAAATTATGTATTATGCAACTACTAAAAATGTATTTGGGTCACAGGCAATACTTACGGGAAATACAAGTTTTTATTTCCATCTCTGGCCCCATACTATACAAAGCGGCCTCCTTTGACTGATATTTAATTTTGACGTTATTGCGGCTTTGCCGGTACTTACACTTCGTCGGGCAATTTTGGACTTTTCGGAATAATTAACAAACTCTGATTTTTTTCGAAACATTAATAATGGTTCGGTAAGAGACTAATTATTTATCATTTTCTCAAAAATTCAAATAAACTTTCATAGTCTGAGTACAAACAAACCTGTCTGTATAAAAATTAATCTTCCTAAACCAAAAACATAGTACTGCCTGTTAAAGGGTTTTAACAAGAAATATTGCACTAAACTGAATTCATTTGTACAAGAAATTTGCAAAAATTTTTATAAAAGTCTTAAGAAGACATATGGATATGAAAATAACAATAAAAAAAGTTTTAACTGAAATTAAATTTTCAAACCAAAAAACAAAATTCTCCAAAATAAATAACTATCCTGCTTAAATAAACAAAATTTACTAAAATTCGCTTCAGGATTTGAGTCCATTATTACTTTTTCAATATTTTCCTCAATTATTCCTTCTTCAATATTTTCCTCAATTATTCCTTCTTCAATAATTTAATCTTCACTGTAATAGTCTACATCTATAATAAATCTCTATTACCTTCATTTATACGGAAGTGTCCAATTTTCATATATTCTTCTATTTTAAATACCTTTTCAATCTCCATCTGCAAATCTTTTTTATTGATGTTCGATTCCTTTGTCATATCCATTTCTTTAACTGTTCCAAATTAATTGAATTTTATTGAAGACACAATGGTGCCAAGCCTAAGACGGTATGGCCATATTTTTCAGCAATTCCAACCACAGCATACTCTTTATCAAATTCTTTTGTTTTCAATACTTGTAAAAGATTAACCTTTGTAGAAGTCTGAAGTTATGCTTTGTCGAACAATCCCAAGGCCTCCACATAACGCCTACTTATTACGTATTTAATACAACAAAAGTCACAAAGTTAACTTAATTTCACATTTAAATCAATTTGCGATCTGATAAATATGCAATGTCTTACCTAAATAAATTGGTATCGATCATTGCCAGAGGTATTGAAGGAAAATTTTAAGTATGACATAACTGCAAACTTCCAATGTCTTTCTAAATGTAGCACATATATACAGTTTAGTGCAATATTTCTGGTACACAGGTTTAATTCGTTTCTTGCCGAACTACTTTTTGTTTATTTAAAAAGTTCATTACTTAATGCAAAAAAGTCCAAAAATGTCTGACGAAATATAAGTGCCGACAACGCCGCAATAACATCAAAATTAAGGGCCAATCAAAGGAAGTCGCTCTACATAGTATGGGCCCATAGATGAAATTTATACATTCAGTCGAATCATTTCTTGTCAAATTTGTAAATAAACTTCCAGATTCAAGTAAATTTGTAGTAATTGCATAATACAAATTTATTTGCTTACTGTAATACTAAAGATAAATTAAATCAATCTTAAGGGGCCCAAATAACTTATTCTGCCTTGCCCTCTACGTCCTGGTCTTATATCGTTTACAGGCGCTATACAGTAGGTACTTATCATAAAGAAACAGTGCCTTGGAGATATAAAAACAGAAAAATATGATCATCTCAAATAATTAAAATACTTCTTTCTTTGTATTCATTTTACTAATATTTATTCTTTATTTGCCAATCAACTTTTTATTATTTCTTCACAGTAACTCACCTCCAGTCGAAGCTTTCAAAAACAGAAGATGAATTAAAGAACGCTCTGAGTAACACTGATGGAAAAGTTGACAAATTACTAATAAAAAACCTAATCCTGGGATTCGTGATGACCAACAACAATCTGAACCGAGACCAAACCCAAATACTAAGAATAATCGCGACTGTTTTAGATTTTAACCAACAGGACCACGATAAAGTAAAACTAAACAAACCCCAACAAGGTTGGCTATCTTCGTTTTTAGCACCGGAACCGGACAGTCAAAAGCTGAGCGAAGAATCTTTATCGAGGGCATTTATTAAATTTTTGGAGAACGAAAGCAAACCTAGAGTGGTGCCTAGTCTTCTGAACAACGCTACACCGGCAGATTCTACTTCTACCACCAAATCGACAAACAGTAGATCAACCACGCCTGGACAGACGCCCATCGTATTGAGTGAGATTGTATTGCCAACATTTACGGATTTTGCTCAAAACCGAAATTCTAGTTCAATACTGAAAGATGTGCTAAAAGATAATAGTTAGAATATAGAAAATAATAAGTATTGTGATATTCTTTGAGGTATAAATTTGTAAAATGTATCGAAAAATTGTATTATTTATATATTTTGGATTTGTTCATATTTTATAAAGTTTTAATTGTATATAGGGATTAAGAAGTAATATTTATGTAAATAAACGGCAAAATCTTTTAAATCTTGTTTTCTTTGTTTATTTCTGTTATGGTTTAGGGCTCTGGAAATAAATGATTCATCACTACCAGTTAAAAAACGGAACTACTCCTTTATACATTACACATTGAGTTTGTGGTAAGGTCATCACACAAAATAGTGTCAAGTTTTCAATTTTTTTTTATTTTTTTATATTAAGATTTTATATTGCCTTTAAAATAATATATACCACTGTTGAGAATTAGAGTCAGTTATATCCCTTCATGAAGGGGGCCTATGTCATATATTGTTTTGATAATATGACAATATGACAAACTTAAGATCCTATGATATTTATTTTGCATTTAAAATACCAAAGTCACTAATATTATCGGAACAACAGCCAATTTCGCAAAGGTACAAAGAACAAAACATTAATCACCATTTTTCTTGAACCTACAAATCCCAAATTTTAGTAGTTTTGTAGAAGAAAATTTGACTTCCTAGACTTCTCTTCCAATGTTTGTTGCTTCATCAAAAATAATATTAAAATAATTAGCATTTACGACTTTTTTATTTAATATATGTGAGATTGAATTAGATTCATTTCTTACTATATAAATTAGTGGTTCAGGTGGGTGTATTAAGTGATACTGCGATCTTAATTTTGGATCCCTATATGACAAACAAATAATTAGATTGACATAATTTGTACTCCAATGATAGTTATTTATACGTGAAATGGCCATGTCTTTCCATATTTACTGCAAATTCTGACTGACTTTTTTAACGTATATTATTAGTGAAAATATGTATAGGGATGGAACGGGTAAAATCGATAAATACGTAAAAAGATGCTTGCAACTTGTTCTGGATGAGACACTGGTTAAACACCTTAAAATTTGTTTCTGTATGCAAAATATTTTGTCCACGACCACTTAATAATAAATCAATATTCTACCTCCTAACTAAAAGCATATAGTACCCATATATCACGGAGTGAATTATGATAATTCACGCTTTTGTAATTCTGGCACATTCCGGTAGATAACTAAAGATAGGCGATACTTTTCATAACGATATTTTCTAGATCGTAAATTCGAAAAGTGGAAAAAACAACAGTGTTTAATAAAAACTTTCCATTCTACATTTAACTTTTATTTAATAAAGAAACCATAATGGTCGTGGACAAAGTATAGTATTAGACTCGCAATTTATGGCCATTATTCACTCGGGTGACATGCGCCCCTCGCCTACGGCTCGGGACGCAAACGTCACCCTGCGTGAATAATGGCTACCATAAATTGCTCGTTTAATAATATACTATTATGTGCGCAGAACATCCCCAAAACATAATGCCATACGATAAAATTGATTCAACAAGACAATAGTAAACTAATCTGAGAATATAAAAACTAAGTGTGCCTTTAAGTTGACAAACCATGCATGCAATGTTGAAGAAATTCGTTTTCACAGTTATTTGCAATATTTAAGAGTTCTGCTGGATTTCTAGATTTGAGTACAAAGTTTGTATCATCTGCATATACAATTTTTAGCTCAGGAGTTTTACAGTTAAATATTATATCATTAAAAAATATAATAAATAAAATATTGAGCCGTGAGGCACCCCTATATTTATCATAAAGTAGTTGCCATTTTCATAGCTTACTTTAATAATGTTAACTTTTCCATATTTACAGTAACTACTTTAAAATATTCGACGTTTGAAATCAGGAAAAAAATATATCAACAATTTAATAATATAAAGATTTATCCCATTAAAAAATTGTTTTTTGTTGTATCCTGTGAAATCTGCACACCAGTGTTTTTGATGGTATTTAAAAAAAAATATATTTTTTTTTTGTAATATCCAATAATAACGATGATAAAGAATGCGTAAACGCTCTCATTAATCTACCAAGAACTTGTTAAATATACTATTGAAAATTTGACACTTGCCTACTAGATTTGAATTTAGAAATATTGAAAGGTTACAAATTATCTAAATACATGCAGACTTTTGTTTAGAAGCAATTTCTACATCATTAATTTTACCTCCATAAAAGGTTATTACTTTTAACTAAAAACTTGACTAAAAATTCATAGAGAATTAAAAAAATTTATATATATTTGTTCCAGTGGCGTAAAAAATAGGGAGTAAAAGTTGCCACCAACCCTGATAACGTGCCATTGATAATTTTTTTACTAAATATAATATTTTTATCACAGACAAAAACAATATAATGTGTGAAAAACTGCTTCTAAATAATAATGTAGTGACATAGAACACATACACGTTTCTGAAAAAAAGCATTTATGGGGACATCGAATTAAAAGATCTTAAATAAAAAATGTATTATCTATAACATGTAAAGACATAAATCAACTTCATTATTTTGTAATAAACTCAGCCTAGTCAGCATTCTCTTATCAGATAATTCGCCCTATTCTTAAAATGGCAGGTTTATTTGAAACAAACAGAAAAAATCGGGATGATTTCAAAAATGAAATGTTAAGAATAGATGTGCATGTGTAATAGATTACAACAGAAACTGACAAAGTTTCCAACTACACTATTTAGAACGTCAACTTCCAACTGTACTATTTAGAATTTAGTCTACAAGAACATGTTTTTCTTATAACTGGTATAAGGCTGTCATATTTTTTCAAACTATCCACAGACTTTGTGATAATTTCAATGAATATACCAAAAAATAATTTAAATTAGTGAAACATTACACAAAATAGTCTTGAATTTTTTTATGGCTTTGGTGTACATACCTAATATGCCAGTCTCAGTTCTTGTTTTGATTGTCATTCATGTGTGTTCTATGTAGGATTTGTCACTTTCCCAGCGCCACTTCAGGAACAGCACTGTTAATTAGAACCCAACAGTGAATGGTCGGAGTGGGGAATTCTACCTAGACATCAGAATTATTTTTAAATAATGAAATTAATTAAAAAAATCCTTGCCAACGGTAGGATTCGAACCGTGGATCCTCGGATTGGCAAGCTCAGACTCTAACCACTGAGCCACCCACCCACATATATTGTCATGAAATTATGACAATTCCATAGAGTTGCTTAAAAACAAGTAAACTATGTTTTTATACATATTATTCTTGTAAAGATAAATTAGGAAAGGAAACGACAATCTCTCCCACACTTTCTTGGTAGTTTTTAAAAGGCAGAGACAGATGCAGGGGCGTAACATATGGGGGTCAGGATGGCGACGCCCTCCCTCCCCCCCGCCCTTGGCAGTTAAAACACCTTTGACGTCACTAGCAGAGGTTTGGGCGCACCAGAAAAGATTCGCCCTTTGGCCCACGCTACGGCACTGAGCAGATGGAGGAAAATATAGAGGTAGTAGGGAGAGTTGAAGTTTTGTGGTATGAGTTTTATTTTTTGGTATTTATTACATAAGTTTAATTTTCATACAGTGTTAGTTGAAAGATCTTGAGGACAATATTATCTTGTATTTTACAAGATCAGAAATCACAAAATTATAGGAATTAACCATGGAGGTTTGGGGATAACATATAAGTTAGTGAACAGAGTGGTACAAAAAAAAATGTTATTTACAAATTTCAAAAGAATTCTGAAAAAAAAAAACTAAATAGATACCATTTTTACATAGAGATTATTGGTATTCGACCAAATTTAGTGTCTTGTATTCAAGACATTCGAGGAAAAACATTTTTTGATCAATCTTCATTGTATAGTCTATTTGAAAAATGATGTTACCATTATAATTTACATGTGGATAAAGTTAAATTAACATATATTTTCTTATTCATATTTTTAAATAAGGACGGTTTCATTCCCAAAGTTTTTTCACTATTTTAAATGTTTTTCTCTTATCAAGTAATAAATTGTGAACTTTAGGCCTACATTCTAAAACATCCACTTTGTTGCAAGATGAATCTAATTGTATACTATCCGAGATACTATCCTCCTATCATTATGTTGTTAAAAAACCCTGAATAGTTATTTGGGAATAGTTTTATTATTAATCTTATAATATTTATGCTTTTATGGTGTAATCAATACATTTTTGTAAATGTCTTAAGGATAATAAACACTTAATAAATTATAGTCTTATTTTTATTTAAGGATGAAGTACTTATTACAATAATACATATTTTATGTACCAGACATATCTATTTTATTAATTTCGTGGATTTCCCAATTTCTTATATAAATATATTCAAATTAACAAATTCCACATAAATATTGATACAAATTTTCTTTTATTATTTTATTTGTATTTGATAAATCACTTAAGTATTCATTTAATTAAAAATATCAAAATTACTGCAACCACTTTAAACAATCCAGACAGCACACCAAATCCTTTGGATATCTACTGAACATCCCAATATCCACTGAATGTCCAGTCCATGGTAGATATCTATTTTATATCCATGAAATGTAATTTATAGACATGCAAATGTCCATAAATAATAGTAATTATATAGCAAATTATTAAAAAATTACGCCATTGTGCTCTCCATTGTGGCTAATAGTACCGTTCAGATATTTAAAATTAATTTTTGTAAGGTGTATTCAATATCCCATAAACATCCACTAAATATATCAAAGTCTAGGCGTGAACGCAAACCATCGTGGATATCCACTAGATGTTATTTGATTCTGCTTACTAAGTATAGATGGCGATACCACTATCGCATCTACTCATGCTCGACCCGCCGTAATTGAGTTCGATCGAAATGTGTGTCCTAATCACTCCATTAGAGACTGGAGTCGAGCATTTTCATTTATTGCTGAAGAGTCCTAATAAGGATGACTTTCTCCTTAGTGGGCAAAATCAAAGGCAGAGTGTTGAAAATATTTTGAGTGTTGAAAATATTTTTAATCTCTGCTATTTTCTTTCGACGTTATTCAATAATCATTGGTTACTTATGAACCTCTACTAAAGATACCCATAAAATATTTTGCTGAATATCATGAACATATTTTCTTATAAAAAGTATTTTTTTTTTCAAATCTTAGATAGGTATATTATCCATTATATTTTTGGTGACAATTAAATCAGCTGAAACTATTAAATGGCTGTATCAATAAGGAATTAAAAATTTATATTCCTGACGTGTATACCCTGTTATCTTTCAAATGATACACGAGACACTTAGTTCTTCTACAATAATTTAAATAATTTATAAATAAGTAGGTAATCAGTAATATGACACTTCAAATAAGATTATAAAAAATAAAATTGTTTCAAAAAATTAAAAATATATTCTTTATTGAATTAAGCATTGAAAGTTATAATTTCAAATAAAGTGTCGCATACTTACCAAATTTAGGAAAGTGGGCAATATTTAAGCCCTTTTTACCCAACTATACCGCCGGCTATGTTTAAACAATCAGTCTTATTTTATGACTTTTACCAACTGTACTACTCAAAAAATTGTTCTGGCACTTCCGCGACACTAAACATTTATAATTTCGGAATAAATGACTGATCAATTAATTTATTGATTAATTTTATAAATTTTTAAGACGACGTGCAACATAACGCTGTGCAAACACGCTAGATTCCACCTCACAGCGAAAATTACCATGTACTCCACCTAGGGAATTTAGTTACTTTTGAATTCTGTTATCAGAACTGATTCCAATATGTCTGCTTGCAGTACATATGCTGTCAAAGTCAAATTCACGTAAACATTTTTAATTTCATTATTATAAAACTACACAGTAACATACAATGTAATCACCTGAATTTAAATAAAAATGGCTCAAGGAGTTTTGAGCTCGGATATCTCCAGAAGAAACCCACAAGATGATTACGAATTAATTCAGCGGATAGGGAGTGGGACTTACGGAGACGTCTATAAGGTATTTATTATAATTTTATTTTTGGCAAATTAACCCTACCGATTTAATTTTAGGCTAAGAGGCTCTCAACAAACGATTTTGCTGCGATAAAAGTGATAAAATTAGAACCCGGTGAGTTGATATTTATTATAATGCAAATAATTGCATTATTTACTGAATGAACTTTTATTAGGTGATGACTTTGGCATCATACAGCAAGAGATTCTTATGATGAGAGACTGTCGACATCCCAATATAATAGCTTATTATGGTAGTTACTTACGTAGGGATAAATTATGGATTTGCATGGAATTTTGTGGAGGTGGTTCTTTGCAAGATATTTACCACAGTAAGTGAATTTTAAAATTTAATCTGTACAGAACATTCTACTTGGAATAAAATTGTAAAACCCCAAATTCGATTAAATAAGTTGAAAAGTTAATATAGAAAAACCCAAGATTTAAATAAACATAAATGTTATTTAGATAGGCAATTTAATTTTCAGTTAAGGAAATGGCCATAAACAATACATTATTTAGGAATTCATTTGTGAATAAGAATATTCATAGTTTTGATGAATCCTTTGTCCATATTTAAGTTTAATAAATTACTAATTTTCTGCTAGGTATTTTTATGACTATTACTTTTTCAGAAGGTACCTACCTATTCACTTTATTTAGGTAATTTTTACACATTTTTTGTGTTATCGTTTTAGAAGGTAAAAGAAAAATAAATAAGGGTACCTAAATATCTAGTTTGGCCTCTTTTCAATTATGAAAAAACTAATACATATTTGTAGGTATGGCTATTGTAGTTAAACATAGTTTGATTTCTTGTGCAAATGAATAATAACACAATTCACTTTTTAAATAAAAAAATTTTATTTTTTCAAATAATAATTTTTTTTATAAGAGTTGGTGTGGATCTGGTGCTGGGTGGGTAAAACAACATTAATAGTTATATTATAAAATATTGTTAGGTTAAGGAAAATTATTAAAATTAAATTGCTGCAATATTTGACAATAAATAATAGGTTAGTAAACTTTGTGTGTGACTTGGCAACAGCTTAACATGTAAAAGTAGCATCTCTGAGCTATGATTTGAGTAATTTTGTGAAATATGTTTATATTAAAAAAATAATATTTTAAATTTGCACAAGATATGGAACTTAGTTTTTTGTTTACAATATTGATACCTACGTACAAATATGTAAGCTTAGTTCATTCACAAGCGAAAAGAGGCAAAATAGATAATTACCTAATAAGGGATAGCAGCAGTTTGAAACTATTAAATAACTGTATCAATAAAGAATTAAAAATTGATGTTCCTGACATCTAGACTCTTTCAAATGATGTGATTATACATGTGACACTGATAATTAAGATGTTCATCTACATTTATTTATAAATAATTTTGGGTAGTTTTGAAAATTCACTTTGAGGCATCTCACTGCACCTTACAAAAGTCATAGTAGTACTCATGTGTTTTTTTCAAGATAACTCTCACTATAATTAAAAAAACATGTACTTTTTTTTTTCAATGAGATCAAAGTATTCATAATATGCCAGTGATCACATGTCTAGAACAATATTATAGTACATCCAACCATATTTTGTTACCAATAACAACCTTCATTTATCAAGAACTATAATTTCCCTTTGACATTTATGACAGTTCTTTTGTTAGATAGATACAAAAAGTTTCTCTTATTATATCCTTTTTAGTTTCCTATTTATCCCAGGGTGGCTATGAAAGTCAAACATTGCTCAATCTGTAGTAATACTGACACTCTTGAAAGTTCTTGTTTGCAAACAGCCCACCAAAAAATATAGAGTTACCTTTGTTTGTGTTGTTTAACAATGTGAAAATAAACAAATATGTTATGCATAACTATCTACAGGGTGTTTGGTTTAAAAAAGTATACATTTGGTTCGCCCCTCATTTATGGACTACCCTGTATTTAAAAAAATAATTGTCAAATTGGGTTTCCTTAGAAGAACTATTTCTGATTTTCATAATGTGATGTATTTAAAGATTCTTTATTGTGCCTTAGTTAGACCTTATATTGAATATGCTTCTTCTGTATGGAATCCTTTTTATGTATATCTAATCCATAATATAGAACAGGTTCAAAGAAAATTTTTATGCATTGTTGCATTTAAATCAGGTATCATCTCGGTCAACTTCAGATACAATTATGATAAATTACACACACTGTCATCTTGAGACCCTTGTGAGCAGAAGAAACCAAATGGATCTTAAAATATTGTTTAACATTATTAACTCATCTACTGATTGTCCCTACTTGTTATCCCAAATTGGATTTTCTGTATCCTCCAGAGTAACTAAGAATAATAATACATTCTCCCAACCTTTCCATAGAGAACAAATTATGGTTCTCACTCTTTTATTCCTATTTATTAATTGTTTTTTAATATTTATATATTTAAATTAATTATTATTATTTAGGATTTTATTACTATATAATGAATGTGATATGTACTCTCTGTAATTGTATAGTTTTAATGGGCTGTGGTCCATAAATAAATAAATACTGTCCTACAACTTTGGTGTTAAAAATGTCTTCGCATCTCACAGCTATTGATAATATACATACTGATGGGACACCCTGTTTATGTATAATAGGCTAACATTATGAAATATTTAGTCAGCTAAGAGCACAATGTAAGCTATCTAGAGAATGCTATTCAAATTCTGTTAAAACCTCAGTTAAGACCATAGATTACTAATGTGAATAGATGGGAAACTCAATGGTAAAATTCTGAGTCGATGTGCTGCCATCTATCAAATTGAAGTGGTACTAAAATTTAATATGGCCGCCACTAGCGGGCTTTTTGAAATTTAACTTTGTAGTAGCGCAAAAATATAATGAAGAAAATCAAATAAAGCAAAAAAATTGGAAAAATATTTGACTAGTTTTAAATCATAAAACAACCATATTGACTGTTTTGTGATTTGAAACTAGTCAAATATTTTGCTAATTTTTATCTTTATTTGATTTTACTTCATTATATTTTTGCATTAATTTCAAACTTGAAATAAAATGCAATTAATTTTATTTTTTTTTATTACAGTAAATTAACGCCGCATCATATAATTTGTCTATTTAAACATGGAAATACTCAAATATGCATTTACACCATTTAAATAATTAAATATTTATAAAACAAACCTATCAAAAATGTTTTCTGTAACAAAATCAGCATATATAAGTGCTCAAGACCTTTATAAAAGTTTTGCGACTTGGAGTGGCAAATAAGTTTGAAAAAATTGAAGTTGAAGCATCATCCTTTTTTACTATCGAGGCAAATTTGAGTGTGGATAAAATTTGCCATACGGTTATTGAGTTGACTAGTTAGGTTGAGGAGCATTTCTTCATTCCATATTTGTTTTCTTGATTCATTTATACAGCACTTGTAGTTATCAAATTTTTATTCATCATGTGGGCACTGTGATAAATAAATTTAACTTTTGAGCATAAATTAAACTTACACACGTTTGGAACTTTGAAGATTTTAGGGTGTTTTCTTGTTTGATGTTAATGGCATTGAATCAATTTTTGATGGCTGAGGCTCAAATATTTCATCGATCGACAGGGTATTTTGGAGGGCCAATATTTTCTTTACAAAAATGATCATTTAAAAACTGAAAACAAAAAGAAATTTAAATAACAAACCAATTATTTTAACACTGAATCAAATACAAGTTTGTAAATATTACTTACCGTTGGTACAGTGATGGTGCATTTTTCTTAAGACACATTACAATTTGGGGGACGACTGCATATTTAATGTGGTAGAAATTGCATTACTACCAATATCTGGGAGTGCTTTATTGTTTGTTGCTGAAATCCATCTTCCCATGTTTTGAAAACATGCTTAAAATTGGAAGGTGTTGAAAAATAAATCTAGATTCTAGATGAATCAAAATTCAATACACCTTCAAATACAATAGCCATTTTAATTTCTCTGAGTTTGAAGTTTTGACGAGCTGACAACTGACATGACATTTCGATGCGAGCCTTAGATAATATAATTAGGCATTCCAACGACCTGTCCAAATGGCTACCAGTGGGTAATGACAGTTTATATATGGCAACCCTGTTGTCATGCTGTCATTAACAGGGTCAATGATACATATATAGTTATATAGATTGCTCAAAGCTGGTCGTTTACGAGCGGCCATATTGCCTGGCAAATAATTATTAATTTGAATCGGTTTAGCAAAAATGTGTTTTAAAACCAATTTTTAGCCATTAGATATTAAAAAAAAAATAATTGCCTACATTTTTACTTCAAGGCATAAGCTTATGTTTATTTTGAAAAATATGGATGATCAATCTATGTAACTATCTATTTCATTGACCTTGTCAAATCACCAGGCCTACAGGGTTGCCATAATTTTGCCATATCATAACCCGTCAAAACCCACTGGTAGGCATTCAGTTTGGAATGCCTAATAGCAGATAGGCCACCACTGCATAAAGTTATACAATATTAATCTCGCTATCTCAGAGTATATCTCTCTTTCTAATGGAGGCTTTCTCACTCGTTTTAGAATTCTCAGCAGTAGCGTACCGTAAAACAATTTCGCTGGGTCATTTTAAATGCGAAAATGTTGACCAAATAGAATATAAAATAAAATGTTTTAAAAGGTAGGTAGGTGCATTTGTAATGAAGTGAAAACAAAATATGACTTTTTTGTTATGAATATAATATTAATAACATTTACTTTTAACACCACAACACGAACAAATTTAAATGAAACACTGGAATAATTGTCTGAGAAAAGCTCTGTAAAACTGACAAATACAAACAAAGAGATAGAGATATTAATCTATTTCTCTCTAATTAGAATACTCGACCATATTATCATGGCGACACAAACATTGTTTACTGTCCTCTCTTTACTACTTACTTACTCTGAGATGCGAGCGCCATCCCGTTAATTGGAGTGGTACTAAATTACCAACCTCATGTTTTTCCATTTGAGTTACCAGCCCCTGGTTAAGACTAATTAAATTTTGTAAATAGTAAAAGAACAAATAAATTACAGTATACCAGATAAAATGAATTTGGATTACTCTTTTACATGTTGCGCTAGTGAAGTAGCAAATCTGTTTGCAAGGCAATGACTAAATTGAATCCATACTACATCCCAATTTCTACTATTTACGATAAATTGTCAAACCTTGATACAAAAAAAGGGCCAAGCCCTGACATTATTTCTCCCATCCTACTAAATGATTGCAGCTTCATACTGTCTTATCCTCTCTTTCATATTTTCAATAAATCATTTTTCCGATTATGCGCTAGTTCAGTGTGGTTC